CTGAAATTTGCTGAAATTCATGAGACGGATATGGATTGCCGTCTTCCATCGCATGGATAGGTTCCATTATCAATATCAAAGGCGCGCAGTGTTCAAAGTCTGCGTTGTAACCAACCAACGTTGTTAGTCCATTCGCATAGTTTGCTGAATAGTAATATAATAGTTTATTACTTAGAGTGGTCTTCAGATTTTAGTTTGCTAACCACAAAGGACCCATTTAAACAATCTGGAGTATGAATAAAGTATCCACAGTTATATAACCAACGTGTATGGCTACATCATTGCATATCCAAGACACCATGTTACTTTTAAAGGTAATATAGATTAATTCTGTTGGGAATACTTGTTGTATTGGATGAAAATAGATGTTAAAACGGTCAATAGTCCATAGACTTCGACTATCTTTTGTATTGGCATAGGCGGCATCATTCGAGAAGTGTATTTGATGCGTCCTGAGCCAATATGTAAGTTGGTCTCTGGTTTAATCATCTGTTCAGAATGACCCTGCTACTAATACTGTTGGGAATGGTCAGACTGTTCGTCGCAAGAAAAATCATGACGAGTAGGTGAGTTAATCTTGGAGATGGTCCAGAATTTGCGGAAGAGTGGGAGTAGTCCAATAATTATTGGCGTCAATGAGCAGGTGTTATTCCCATAAAGTAATCACGTTCAGACTGAATTTGAACATCATATGTCGACTTGCAGCTGTTTCTGCAAAATGGGGAAAGAAAGGAAGGGGAGGACGAGCAGATATGGAAATAGAGATTACTACGCTATCAAATTTGGAGAAGCGAGGAGGAGTCCCTATCCTTTTTTTGATTTATTCGGACTTGATGTACATTTTCATGTATATATGTTAAGTCAACTACATAGTCCTTCCATTATAGGGTTATTAAGTCGTTTTTTGGGTGGGGGGATGTGCCGTAGTGGCTTTCAGAGATAAACAGTATTCTTTAAGTTCATTATACGGAAGGAGCCAGTATTCATACCATTGTATGGAATCTTAAGGCCATCTGCATTAAAGGAACTGGGGGCTTTAATAAAACCGATTCTTACGTTTAAAGATCTCAGTACGTTCATGGTGGACGCAATTGGCTTGACCATTGTTATGTGCCGATTGCTCCATTATGCTTCGTATTTGTGGATATAATATGAATGCCATAGAATTTATAGATATTCGTGAAAAGAAAGATTCGTTGGGTAGACGTCGAAGCTGAAATGCAGCATGCAAGAGCGAATAAAATGTGGAAGCTTATTCCATAACTTGCTGCACTGTAACATAAAGGATCATGACCTAAGTTTAGGGCGGTGCTTTTCTACAGGTACAGTGCATTCACGATTGCGTGGACTATATGAAGACATAGGCTAAAAGTAGGAGCGCAACAGGCGTGAGTAATGCCATGCAAAAGGCGGAAAAATAGGCTAAGGCTGAGCTAAGGCATCCTGGCCAAAGTGGGCCAATTTTTAATTTCTTATACCTTCCCTAATAATCAAGTTCTTCGTGACGGCTCAGTAGATAGCGGGTAAACTTTCTTTGAACATTCTCGATTAGTATCCTATCCGAAGCATACAAATTTCTGAAGATGATTGTGCCGTATTCAAGTACTGGGTGGATCATTACCTCGAATAAAAGCAGTCTAGCCTGAATGGTATGTACGTGTTTAAGCAAAAGGCCAACTGAGCGCCTACACTTGGGGCAAGGTGTGGTCATATTCCGTAAACGTTAAGTTCCGAGAATACCTAATACCTAAATCACATACTGAGTTATAAGATTGCAGCACAGAATCGCCAAGGTGTAAACTGACGTTTGGATAAAGTTATTGAAACAGAGAATTCCGCATTTACTAGAGTTAAGTGGAAGTTGCCATGTTTCACTCCAAGCAAACAAATTCGCCAGGTCTTCCTGGATTCTATTAAAACCCTCACTTAGCGACGAGTGGGGAAAGCTATATACGATTTTTAAGTCGTCAGCAAACAGGTAGGGTTTACCATATTTTATCATGTCAGAAATATCATTTATGTAAAGGAGGAAAAGTAAGGGCCCCAACACACTACCTTAAATGGCGCCACTCAGAATAGGCTGTAGGGAGGAATAGGTTTGACTGCACTTTACTATTTGAGTACGCTGCCTAAGGAATGAGCTTATCCACGACAATAGAGGATCACTAATTCCAAATGATTGAAGACTCGGAATTAACCGATTATCAAATGACTTTTTGAAGTCAAAAAATAGAGCAGTTACGAAAAGACCATTATCTCGTCTGCAGGTGACCTCCTCAAAATAATCCAGTAAGCAAGTACTACATGAACAGCCTTTTAAGAAACTATGCTGCGTAAGGGAAAGAAGCTGATGCGCAGCCAAGTAATCATTGATTTCTTGCACAACCACGTTCTTGTCTGCCACTGAGTCACGCGAGACACTCCTCAGCTATAAAATCAGAAATTTTCAACAGATTCATCAACCAAATTTGCACCCGAATATAAGTAACACTGTATCTACCCATTAATTCCCAAATCATATTTCGTGGCTTCTCTTATCCAGCTCTTTCCTCAGACGCTTTCTGCTAGCACTCCAGGTAATTTCTCTAACATGTATCCAGCGTTCGTCTGCTGGGAAAGAGTGTCATTTTCGTGGCCACAGTGCCCACAAGCTTCATTCTTTCAGAGGCAGAAGTCAGCTTTCTGGTGACAACGGAAGGCTTAAGATTCAGCCGATGGCATTTTCTTCTTCATTATCAAGGAAAATCTCACCATTGCTCAATTTCATCCGCCTAAGTAGGCTTGGAACTGATACCGCCTATCAGAGAATCGCCTTCTGTTTGAATGCAATCAAGCCGAAATCACTTTTCACCTGGCTCTCAGCGAGTGCCTTGCACAACTTTTGCTGCTAGTTCTGCAGCTAAACGGATGTTTCGAATCCTTTGAAAGGGCGATTTATATCTACGACTACCTTCCAATCTCGAGTTATGTGCAAATGTGTTGAAGTCTCCGGCGAAGACCATGCAATTGTAAAATGTTCTGAGGCAGGTGCCAAAATTGCGATGAGCACCTGTCCCTTATACCGTC